AAGCAGAATTTTGTTTGAATCATCAGTCTCCGACATCACTGGATGTAGATTGTCTGGTCCTTTGAATGAAACCATATAAACCGAGTTCCAGTGTTGCAGTTCATGTAGGTGTTGGTACGAAAAAGATCTCTCACTTTCCAAAGGCTTTAGTGCTGAGTACATGTTAAAATATGCAGCCCTTCACCGGAATGTGTTGGCGTCTTCATATGAATGAATTAGATCTAGATTCTTATGTGCAGTGATGAAGCAACAAAACTGTGGATTCCCTTAGCAAAATCAAATTGATTGAATTTTGATTTATTTTGTAGTTGTTTTCTGAGCATTGGATTTTCATTGTTTTTTGATTTGCAGAGAAATCAACTGTGCCTCCTTGCTAAAGTGTATGGGAAAAAAGCATTGAAATAGCATTGAACATTGGATTTTGATTTATTTTGCATTGACTTTTGATTGAAAATGGCTGGATTTTTGCGAAATATGTAAATGAGATGAAGGATTAATTTGACATCACGGAAAAATGCAAAATCAATGCAAAACAAATGAAATACAGTATGAAGCATTTATTTGATGTCACTTAGCATTATTGTGACATCACAGAAAAATGTTAAAGAAATACATATAAAAACATTTAAGTGATGTTATGAAACTTGAAAAGTAACATAGAATAAATACATATGGTAACAAACAATATCCAGCATCATGCTCAATGCAAACATTATTACTAATAATCCATCACATGTATCTTTACCAAAATTTTGAATACTTATCTTAAAAATTCACCAGTACAGTTATAAATTCAAGTAAATGAATTACTAACTTCCTATTAATTAAATGTTACACTTGAATGTGTGTGAGACATGAATAAAACCCAAAAATCACTGACACAATAACAGTAATTCCATACATTAATCACATATCACAAAGGCACAATTTGAAGTACGCTTCCTTGGATTCCATTTCTAGGTTACTCAGCACATAAGTTTCTCACTTTCTGGTATCTGTTATTGGTAGTTTTTGTGGAACTGCATTAGATAATCTTTTTTTTCCATTTAACTATAGACTAGCGCTGCTTTAAATTTATTGAACATTTTCGGTGGCACAGGATCTAACTTCAAATTTTTGCACGTGGAGCATATACATTACTCTGAAAAAAAAAAACACATTCAAGATATTTATCATTTGATAAATAAATGAATCTTTTAAATAAAAAAGAAATGATAGTCAAGACTGCATGGTGTTTCGAGGTTTGGTGCATAATTAGTAATTCTGTAGTGTAGACTAATTAGTTTATAGTTACACTATCTGCTCAGCAGTGGACACCAGCAGTGTTGCTTAAACAATAAAGAGCATAGATTAACTTAATTTGATCAGAAAGCATGTGCTGGAAATTAAGCCCCGATCTTTGTTTACATAAGACTTCCTTGGAGAGTGAAATTTAATACTTGGCATGTTCCCCCTCTCTGAAAATCCACAGAATGTGTAATGATGGGTAAAATAATGCTATAAACAGTGATTTAGAATAAATTTTGAGAAAAAAAGAAATAACTTACTTCCTGAGAAAACAATGTATCCATTATTTGTATGGCATCTACTTCAACAGCACCATCTTTTCATCACCTTCAATATCACTTGTCTGTCACAAAACAACACTAGCTGTCTTCATCATTCTTAGATTCTACACAACTTTTTGCCATAATATGAATAGTTTAGTCCACAGGGAAGAACACAACAAAATGTTGATCATTTCCATCAAAGTACATCGTGGCTTCTAGCTTGTCTCGATGCAGCGCCAGCAGAATTTGAAATGGCTGATAAAGTGACGTAGAGTAATCACGTGATTTTTATCAGCCTCTCCCTGGATATGTTTACAGCTGGTCAGCACTAATATAACCAGCAATATACACAGCTGATAAAGCTACCATTTATTTCTGAATCAATGCTTCAGAAAATAAATACAAATTCAATCATGGATTTACCAAAGAGATCACTTCATGTGTAATTTGTTATTGGTATGACATCATATAAATTGAAAAAAACAAATTTCAATCATTCCAAAATCAATGGTCTGAAGATTTTTGAATTGGATTCAATCAAAAATAAATGCATAACCAATGTTCAATGTATTTTCAAGACAAATAAAATCAAAAATCAATGCAAATATAGCATTTGTTTTTGCTAAGGGTTGTGTTCATAGCACTCCATTTCTATAAAAGTACAAAGAAGACAAGATTTATTTATTGATAATTGATCACCTTAATATTATAATTATTTTTTTTTTTAATCTCCCACAATTTTAATTTGGGAAAAACACAAATAATTATTTATAGCATATATAATAAATTATATAGACTTCCTATTGATTAAAGTTTGTGTATTTAATTGACATTGAGATCTTATTTGCAAGGGTATAAATGGATTCAAGTACATTTAAAAAATAAATTCTACATACAGGGCATACTAGCTGCAGATCTGTAGCTCTCCGAAAAAAAAAATATATTGATAGACCGGAGAGATACAGTGCCACCCATTGAAAAAACTGTATATTTATTGCGCACAAAAAAGTGCGCTTGGTTCTCAAATTATTTCTCCATGTTTTTAAAACTGTAATCTCAACATATTACTAAACATGTGTTCCGGCCGGGCCGGCCTAACATATTCTTTCGCTGTTTCCACAACCAAACATTCCTCATTATTGTTGTTAATAATCCTCCTGAACCTGATATTGTAGTCATCGAACATTTTGCTTATTTATACTGCCATTTTGGTTTCAAAGATAATTCGGTCCAATATGCTTCGTTAAGATGTCAACTACAAGAGTACTTGATTGAGGATAAAGGAATTTTTTAAAATCTTTCCTTTTTTGCAATTGAGGTAAGAATTTGGAAGAATTAATCAAGAACCGAGCACACTTTTTATGCGCAATAAATATACAGTTTTTTCAATGGGTGGCACTGTAGCTCTCCAGTCTATCAATATATTTTTTTTTCGGAGAGCTACAGATCTGCAGTTTAGGACATACAAACTACTTTGTATACACAATTTTCCACTATGAAGATGCTATTCATCAAACAAGGAAAAGAATATGTAGTGAAAAGTTTTAAAATAAATGTATGCATATTTTCAAGCACAGATCCTCTCTCCTATATATCATAATTATTTTAGCTATTTCAAAATGATTTTTTGTACATACACAAATTCATTTTTCTGCACAAGTTTTTATAAAGTTAAGAACTTTCGCATTAAAAAAATATTTACACCAGATTCATTAACATGAAATCAACTATTGCATTGGATTAATTATTACGTTTTGTTCATTACACCTCAATCTATGATTAATTGCTTGCAGATAATCTCGTCAAAGGCACTGCGACTTTTATTTCTGACTTCCGTAAATTTAGAGGAAATTCGGATTGAAAAACTTCGTAGCATGTGTATGCCCATAAAACCCAACGGAATTTTGTAGTAATTAGTCATACTCACAATATCATACTTTTATTGTATTGTTTAACTGATTTTTCATGTGCATGCCTAACTACTTACCCCTTTATCACCGATCTCAATCAGCAATCGTGGCCTCACCAGTAGACTCCATAGCGTTTCCGTTTGGTGATCAGCTGATTCAGATTTGAAAATATCACGGGGTTATTGCTATTGAATTAATTTAATAATAATCTTAGGATTATATTGGCCAATTTTTCTGCAAGAAATACATTCTTTGTATTTATTTCCGACTGAAATAGGAATGTCTATTTTGCGGTTTCGTTTTGTGAAAATCAATCTGTAGTTTTAGTAAACCAGGATAATCCTGATTTTAAGTAGGTCAATGCTGGTTTTAAAATAGGTCAATGCTAGTTCTATCCTTTGCTTGCTGATGCTGATCCAAGTAATGCTGTTTTTTTAAATGCTGATGCTGATGCTAGCTCTATCCTGATCCTACTTATGCTGATCCTGATGCTGGTTTATGTAACAAAATTAGTTCCCTGCACTGTAACGTGAAATATTGTATTTAATATGTGTTTAATTGAGTTTGAACATGTAGTAGTTATCATAATACTTTTCTAGCATTAAAAAAAGTAGCCTATGGTTACCACGTAATATATATATATTTCCTACATTTCTTATCTGTTTTTTTTTTATTAAAAACAAACCTATCAGCATTTGTTAGAGTGCTTTGTTTGGTTTCCTCGTCTGTTTTTAAGGTTCAATAAAGATTAATATAAGCTTTAAATCTCAATTTTAAACGTTTCCGTTTCTAAAGATGGCAACCAAAACACGTACATTGCAAATTTTGTTTGATATATGATTCTGTTATCAAGTTGTAACAATGAGGAAAGTTTCAGCAAAATCTGTTGTCAAAAAAGCTTTGAGTAATTTTATTTAAAATTATTGACTTGAAGAGGTCTGTTTTCTTAAAGTGTGAATTGATGATTTATTCTTTCATAAAATATCATTAATAATTTACATGACATTTTAATGTTGTGGCGATATTTTTTTTTCAATTATTAATCTCACTTTATATATAACAAAACTTTGAGGTGTCTATATGTCAATTTTTTCAAATTATTGATATTGTGGATCTTCTGTATTGTGTATGACTACTGAAGAATAAGTATTTGTTTATATGAGCGTAAAAAAGGCATGCATATTTTTAAGATTACAATGTGCGACAATAGGAATTGATTTTTGTCCAGTTCATTGCACATTGAATTTTACATTTAAGCCCATAGACAGTGCAAGTTTTCTTATAATATTGTAAAAAGTAACATGAAATAAAAAAAAATGAATGAAAATAAACCTTAAATCTTTTTATATTGAAATTCTGGTATATAAATTATTGAATCATCTTCAGCAAAAAAATGGTAAAACAAATAAATTTGATTAATTTATTTTTATCTAGTTATACATGTATATATTTAAATATTAAACAGTTCAAAATAATTCAATTTTTTTACCGGTATATTATCTTCTCTGTACATTGAAACATTAAAATGATAAGAGATAGCGCTTCAAAAACAGCAGTGCCTATTTCAGGATTATAACTGACATTAAATGAATTCATAAAAATCATAAAAATGACATGCAAAATTGTTGGGTAAAAGTTAATATTTTCTCCCATCACAATTGTACATTAAAACTAATCTTTCATAAGTACGTACTTAATATAATCCTCAATACTCTCGACAATTTTTTGTAAATTGTATAATGTAAGAAAATCCTTTTGGGGGCTGATAGACGTTTCACCACAGTAGTTCGCTTGCAAGAGAACTCGATCTTTTGTCAGTGAAGTGTACTGTGCAATAAAATCTCTCATCATTTTCACATAGTTGCTGTAAAATATTTTTTCGAGGTCCTCTTGAAAATTTTTATGAAAATTATCTACTTTTGTCATCAGAATAAGCTGTGGTATATCTGAAACAAAACGAAAAATTAATATCTTTATGTTCTCGTTTTTAATTTTTTTTTTCTGATACAACAACGAAAAGGGAAAGGGCCCTTCACAATGAAAGCTTTAGAAAATATTTATGAATTTAACTCCCTTTTGTTTTATATATACATTTGTTTATACCATTTTGGTATATTAAACAGTAACAAAAACCTAAAATAACAGTACAAATCTGAACAGATCGTAACCACGGATCGACAGTCAAAAATAGTCAAAAAAGCAAATTAATGAATCTGTTAAAAATTGGTATTAAGTGAACTTACTGGATTTAGTGAGTTCTTGTCTTATTTTTTCAAATGTTTCCTCTGCTGTTTTTGTTGCCAAAGCTTCTTTTGGTGCTGTTGCATTTATAACATATACCACACAGTGCATTTTGTCAGCTAGTTTCGGATCCTTGCGGTACATTTCGTGTTCTTTTGTAATTGGAGTATTGGAATCAAACTTGTTTGAAAAGAAGAAGAAATTGATTGTTTTGTAGTTGAAATTAAAAATAAAATATTTAAAAAAAGAATTTTACACCTATTTTACTTCTATGTGGTGACGAGATCCTTGTCTGGGTATCAAATTCCTAAATATATGTTTGTGTCATACAGTCTAAGAACAATTCACTTTGATATGGTAGAGTGTGTCCTTTGTTTTTACAGTGTTAAATGACATTGAAGTCATATGTAAGTTCCAGTAAATGTGTTTATTAAATAAGATTTTTAAAATTTTTTCAAATTTCTGGAAGTAGCGGATGTCTATATGCATAGGAAATACGTCTATTTCCTTTTCACAATTTTCACATTTTGTCCGTCGTCTGTCCGACCGTCTGTAAACTTTTCTCATTTTCGACTTCTTCTCAAGAACCACTGGGCCAATTTTAACCAAACTTGGTACAAAGCATCCTTAGGTAAAGAATTTTTTCAAGGGACAAGTACTCTTCTAAGGGAAGAAACTACATAAATAGGGTGGGATCATTAAAAAGTCTTCTCAAGAACTACTGTGCCAGAAAATCTAAAACTAATGTGGAAATATCCTGGGGGTAGTGTAGATTATTTGAATCATGACCCCTGGGGTTGGGCAGGGCCATTTTAGGGGATTAAAGTTTAACATAGAATTATATAGGGAAAAAAATTGAAAATATGAAAAAAAAATGGGCAAGATAAGCTTAAGCTCAAATTGAAACATCTTGGGGTAGTGTAGATTCTAAATTGTTTAAATCATGCCTAAGGTGTTCGGGCGGGGCCACAATAGAAAATTGAGTTTTATTGGAAAAAAAACTTTAAAAATCTTCTTAAGAACCACTGGGCCAGAAAATGTGAAACTCAAGTAGAAGCATCCTGGGGTATTGTAGATTCTAAATTGTTGAAATCAAGACCCCCGGGGTTACGGCGAGGCAACAATACGAAACCCTAGTTTTCGCATTGAAATATTGGAAAATTCTTTATTTTTTCTAATCTTCTTAAGAACCATTGGGTCAGAATAGCTTATACACATGTTGAAACATCCGTGGGTAGTATTGATTTTAAAATGTTAAAATTATTACTTCTGGGGGAAGGACAGGGCCACAATTCGAATCCAATTTTACATTGAAATTTGTAGGATTTTTTTTTTTTTTTTTTTTTTTTTTTTTTTTTATAAAAAATCTTCTCAAGAACCACTGGGCAAGAAAAACTGAAACTTATGTGAAAGCATCCTGGAGTATTGTAATTGTTCAAATGATGACCACTGGGGTAAGGCGGGGCCACAGTAGGGAACCAAAGTTTTTCAATTGTTCAAAATATATAGGAAAAACTTTTAAAATCTTCTTCTTGGGACCAACTGGGCCAGGAAAGCTGAAACTCAAGCGAATGCATTGTTGAGTAGTGCAGATTTTAAATTGTCCAAATTATGAACTGTGTGGTAGGGTTGGGTCACAAAAGGTATTACAAAGGGAAAATATAGTAAATAAAAGCATGGTCAAACATATTCAGTTGAGCGATGTGGCCCATTGGCCTCTTGTCAGTTAAAAAATGCATGCTTTTCAGTGTTTTTTACTACACGTATTTACTGATTGCTTTTGAGAAATGATTCTGAGTATGACATAAACACAGAAAATTCAATATTTACCCTAATACTTAAATAATGAAAAAAAAATATATATTCAATATTTACCCTAATACTTAAATAATGATAGTAGAGGTACCGTTTTGCACATACATTGTTATTTAATTAAAGCTGAACATGATTCCTAAAAGGATTGTGTCCGCCATTTTTGCTCGGAGAATCGCTATAGTGAACTTGCAGATTCCTATAAAAAGGGAAGGACTTGTCACTGTTTAGTGTAATCAGTCGACACTGGAGTAGACAGACGTATGCTATACAGCACTCGGTAGTGACAATAATAACGTAATATTTCGTCTAATACAGGAATATTAGATACAAAAGAAACTTACAATTATATTTGTACAGATCAGTGCAGTATACAAACAAATACAGATACACGTAACTGCAATGAAATATAAACTTAGAAACCATAGTTGCCAGCAGGGCTAGCAATATCTTTTTTCTACTAGCCCTGTTCATGTATTAGTTGTCCAAGCAGCCGAAGCTGCTTGCCGAGTTGCTTTGCAACGAGTGGGGTAGATGCAGGAGGGGGTTTGCGGGAGATGTTTTTCCCCTCCCGCTGGTGGGGTACGGGTTGCATCCCCCGGGAAATTTTGAAAATAGAGAAGCCAAATCCTGCATTCTAGCTGTATTTTGGGTAAAGTTTATGTCACTCTATGACTGTACCTAAGATATATATTTTTTTTGAAAAATTCAATAATAATCTTATTATTATATGCATAATATATTTTTTTTTATTTTACTAAAAATTTCCATAAAATTGATAGGTACTAGCAATTAAAATGTTAATTTGTTTGGCTGCGTCATGGACATAATTTAAAATATTTCTAATAGTAGAAGACTACGAATGCAGCAACTGTCCTTAAACATTTTCTGGTGTTATAAAAAAAAATGCTTATATGCATATGGAAGCTTATAAAATTGCCGTTCTATTATTCCTAAAATATGTTTTGTTTCCCCACCTACAATGTTTATTTCATTTTTCAATTTGATTATTTAAGCTGCTCTAAGTAAGTGTGTAGTAAAAAAAAATTATAGTAGGCCTGCAGGGCAAGTTTAAAGACAAGTTTAGTAGCCCGACCTAAATATTTAGTTGTCCCGGGCCAGCGGGCTACCGTTAGTGTCGAACCCTGCCGATATCAAATATTAAGAATTGATTTTGGCAGATAGCAACCACACAATGAAAAGTTCATTGTGTACAGAATAGACACTCACAATTAAGCTTAGAATGTACATAAAGTTAATGAAAAACCATTGTGTTTCCAGATACAAATAACAAAAGGTCTTTGTCTAAAGAATACAAAGTAACAGGTTAATTTTGTGGTGATACTTGTATTTCAAGAAGTATGCGATGCTTCAGAATAGGATTATTGTGTGCATTGTGAAAAATATGTTTTTTAAGAAGAGAGTAAATGAGAGAGTTGTCTTAAAAGTTCGGGGACAATGGCATTTTAGTCAAAATGAATGGTTCAAAGTTAGCTTATTGTAAACAAAAGTATTAGTTATGCATTAGTATTTTGATTTTAAAAAACACTAGCAAAACATTATTCACCTCATAACCTGGCAAGATATGCCCATTTATGATATTCATGATATCATCAAACCACAAAGATTCAATGTCGTGAAGACCCCTACAGTCGTAGAATCTCAATCTAACGTCTTCGTCTTCATTAACTAGAAGCGGACAGAGGCATAACTAAAAAAGTTAATTTAAATATTTATCATTTATGTCACAAGAATTACAAATAATACTCATTATAAATAAACCAATACTGTTTTCTCATTTTGAGCATTATTGCTAACAACCTTAAACCAATACTTAAAAAAAATATTTTTGGAATTATTGCTTAACGTTAAACAAACATGCCCAAGTATTCGTCTAAGCATCAATACTGCATGAAAAGGAATTTGTTTGTTTTAGATTGATAGTGCACACATATTCCATTTAACCAAACATTTACGTTACGATACCCACATGTAACTTTTGACATTTAAAATTTTTGAAAATAAAATTAAATAGGAATCAAACAGGAATTCAGACAAATTTAATATTCATACTGTTTTTGTTGTACTTTCTTTCCCCCTGCTATACACAGTAAAAGGACTTTTGCGGCGTCCTTCATCAGCAATAGCAGTAACAGCTGAGTTTATAAATGAGGTTTTTCCGTTTGCAATTTGGCCAATCAATAAACAGTTGAAAAATGGAACATCTGGTCTCTTCTTGATGTTGCGGACGTAACTTCTCATCTGTCCTTTTTTCTTCAAAGAAAATATGGAATTTCATTATAGAACAAGGTTGACATTGGGTCTTTTTGACCCTCTGTAAATTTCTGAAAAATAAAAGATACACGGTTTAAGTTGAAAAAAAATTTAGATTTCACTTGGGTCTAGTTTAATTATATATCGATTAAATATTGAGTTTTTTTCGTGTGTGTGTTTTTATTTAAGAAAAAAAACAACGTTATTCAGTGAACATGGCGTTATGAATAGCAATTGCTCTGCTGGCATATTCCATGATGCACGCTAGCGCATCATGGGAAATATGCCAGCAGAGCTATTGCTATTCATAATACCAGGTTCATTGAATAATCGTTGTTTATTACTTATATTTGCATTCTTTGAGTTTTTCAAGAATATCAGAGGAAATCCTGACTAACATAAGGACGCGGTTTCTTGTCTTCAATAATGAAAAACATACGGCTTTTAAATCAGTACACCTGATCGATGATCCTTTTCTCTAAAAAAATCACAAACAATTTATTAAGTATTTCCCTCTCAAACACAGTTATCTGGCTACAAGCAGCACCGTCATCACATTCTCTTAATTTTTGTTTTGATGCAGTTGTGACGTCATAGATCAACGTTATTGAAACCCTCCGACGAAAATCAATAATTTAACACTATGATGAAAAATGAGAATGCTTTTATAATGATTATTACTCCAGAATGCTTTTCTATGATTTTTTTTTTTAGTTTTTCTATTTATTTTTAATAGCTGAAATCATTCTTGAAGTAGATATACTAGTTAAATTTTCTCTTTCTGAATGTTATTATCCAAGTGTGAAGTTATCGTTCTTTGTACAAATATGCATGATACGAAAAAATAAAAATATAGCCATTCTCTAAATTTTTGAAACGTTTTATTATACAATTAAATACATTGACTAAAATTGAATTTTTAAAGATATAAATTAGCAATTTTAAATATTCTGAATTTCTTTTTTTTTTCAAAGAATATTATTAAAAACATATATTCATTCTTTTTACGAAACATTTCATATATAAACCTCTTAGAACGCAATACAAATGTAGCAGAGCGTGTTCTACATGAGTGTGATAGTGCAAATGCACTCATACCAAGAGCACTTGCGTCTACAGTCCTACATGTATGAACGCAGTTGATGACTACATGTTCATAGTGGGAGAGAGCAGTGGATATGCAAATATAAGGTTATGTATTACGGTATGACGTCATAAATGGTGTCATTATTTTTAAGTCCCGAGAATGCCCTCGGAAATTGCAGATAAATTCAAACTTTTTCAAAATTTTGTTTAGAATTCAACCTTTGATCTTAAATCTATAATAATGAAATGAAAGTATTGTTTTACAAGACTTAAACACATATTCTATACTTAAAAGCTTTGGATTGCGGGATGGTATGATATTTGAATTATTTGCTGAAGGTGCTCAATAACCTACATTCTTGACATTCAGGAGCATACCCGGTAATCAGTCGACAATCCTGTTTAACATTGTTTAAACTCTGTATACTGGAATCCTTTTATATAGGAAATGAATATCTTAATTTTATCTATTTCAAACTGGACATTGGTTCTGAGTTAATTAATATATGCAATGCAGGGCCAATTTCGATGAGGTGATCCTAGCTGTTTTTGTAGTTTGAGAACACATTTTTAGCTCACCTGAGCCGAAGGCTCAAGTGAGCTTTTCTGATCAAAATTTGTCCGTTGACTGTCGTCGTAAACTTTTCACATTTTCATCTTCTTCTCAAGAACCACTGGGCCAATTTCAACCAAACTTGGCACAAAGTATCCTTGGGTGAAGGGAATTCAAGTTTGTTCAAATAATAATAAAATTAATAGCATTTTTAAAATTCTTCTTCTCAAGAACTACTGGGCCAGGAAAGATGAAACTAATGTGGAATCATCCTCAGGTAGTGTAGATTCAAATCATGACCCCCAGGGCTAGGGTGGGGCCAAAATGGATGACCAAAGTTTTACATAGGAATATATAGGAAAAAATCTTTAAAAATCTTCTTCTGAAGAACCACTGGGCCAGGAAAGATGAAACTCATGTGCAATCATCCTCACGTAGTGTAGATTCAAATTTGTTCAAATCATGACCCCCGGGGCTAGGGTTGGGCCAAAACCGGCCGACCAAAGTTTTACATAGGAATATATAGGAAAAATCTTTAAAAATCTTCTCAAGAACCACTGGGCCAGGAAAGATGAAACTCATGTGGAATCATCTTCAGGTAGTGTAGATTTAAGTTTGTTCAAATCATGATCCCCGGGGCTAAAATGGGGCCAAAATGGCCAACCAAAGTTTTACATAGGAATATATAGGAAAAATCTTTAAAAATCTTCTCTCTCAAGAACCACTGGGCCAGGAAAGATGAAACTTATTTGGAATCATCCTCAGATAGTGTAGATTCAAGCTTCTTTAAATTATGACCCGTGGGGCTAGGGTGGGCCAAAAATGGCTGACCAAAGTTTTACATAGGGGTATATAGGGAAACCTTTTAAAATCTTCTTTTCAAGTACTTCAAAGCCATGATTAGTGATATTTTTCTATTTATAAGGAATCATCCTCAGGTAGTGTAGATTCTACTTTGTTCAAATCATGACACCCCGGTGGGTTAAAATTCAACCCCCCCCCCCCCCACAGTTAACTTTCAGTTTTGATCTGATATGTGCTTTTTCCTAGTAAATGTGCTTAGGTGAGCGATGTGGCCCTTGGGCCTCTTGTTTGGCTTGATATTTTGGATGAAGAAAGAATGCGTAAGTCTATATTCACAAATTGTTCTTATTTGGAGGATATGAATCTGTGGGACTTTGCATACCACGAAAACGAGGAAAATTAAGTCAGACAGACACATATGATTTCACAGTGCTCTTCTGCAAGCGACATACATCAGATAACATTCATATTGAAAAGGTAAAGTAAAATATTCTTTTAAAAATGCTTATATTAATTATTCATGAATTAGTGAATAACGAGGTGATTTATAGTACCTTTTACAAATGCATCAATTATTGAAATAAGGGCAAAATGATGAAACTAATTTGTGAAATTAATTTCCACTTGAAAGCCATGTTAGTATTTTGAGTGATTAAAATTGCATAAATGTCTTTTTTTTAAATGACTGATGTTTTACACTTGGTTAAGAATGAAGACTGTCTTCAAATATGTAAATATATTCACCCCAACATCATTCCATTTTCTCAGATTAAGCCAAGGTCCTACAAAATTGAAAAAAAAGGTTAAAACAAATTTTGAAATCAGTACGTGAATGATACAGTACTAACCAAACATAACCTTACACAAAGTAATCCCACAGCAGTCTATGGGGACTGCTTTCTGGGACTGCAGTCCCAAAGCTGTCCCGGCCAGAGCAGTCTGAGGTCAAGTCCCAACAAGCCCCAGTGGTCCCTGAAAGCAGTTCCAGTGGACGGGATGTATTTAATTAATGGGCGGGGCTTACCCAGAAATAAAATTACCAATAAATAATGTAACTAAAAAGGCAGTCGAAATACGTAATATCGCGAATACCAATGAGTACCTCGCTGTTATCTAACTTACTACCGCTCTTTTGCGGGGAATTAAAGAAAGGTCTTAGTAGTGAAAATCGACTGCTTCGAACAATTTAATGCCGAAAGCACAATGTTTTGCCAGATATTGAACTCCAAATAGTAGATTGTCAAATAAGGAAAGTTTAGAATATTTTATCTGCTCTTAAATGTGACGATTTTCAATGATAATTTAACGAGAAAAGTCCGCTTAGTTCAAAATATCGTTAAAAATGTAACAATTTAGGATTGGCTCCTATCAAAAATTTATCAGGCTAGTTCAGCAGTTGTTTACCAAGGTATTCCACCAGGATTTTTTACTTATCTGTCCTTATAAATTCTACAATGATCGATCTTACATTGTATTCAGTAGCACTTTGTCCCCACCCAACAGACGTGTCCTACCTCAATCGCGAAAGAGTTCCGCTAAATTAAGTAATCGCGATATCAAGTATTGATTCTGAGAAGTAACAATTAATCTTAATAATTCAATGCAACAGTCATTTCTGATCAGTACATAATACAAAAAAGCATTATTGAAGGAAGAAGAATTTCACACCTAGTAATGACATCAATATTTTACAGACAATTTCATGTATGTGATACATGTAAATCAATCTGTCATCAAAACAAATTAATTTCTGTGATTGAAATTGATTTCCATACCTATTTTTGTACAGTCATATAAAATTAATTTTGAATTGCTCCTTTTCTTCCAAAAATTTAAAACTTCTAATAAATACTGTGGAATCATCATTGTTCGTAGGGGACAAAGGTTCGTTACATTCCAATACTACGAATTTACCTCCACTTGAACGTTTATACAAATATTTGTTTTATCAATCATTAAAAGTTAAATTACGAAATAGACCTTTTGGTCAACGCCACTCAACGAAAATACGTCCCCACGAATCAGATATTTCTGGAAATCCACAAACATTGACCCCCACGAATAAAATGATTCCACACAGTCGAGGCCTACGCTACATCAGGATGCATCAACAGAGCTAAGCTGATTCCCAATACTATACTCAGGAGGCGTTTTTATGAAGTGTTGGGGCATTCAAAAAAATCTTATTTTTATTTATGTTGCTGAATATTATTTTTCAGTCATGGTTAAATTTGAATGATATACCAATTTCTTTATCTTTTAAGTGCATTTTGTAGACCCCATATAATAGAAAACAACAATACTTTTAAGTGTTTATTTTCAAAATGTTCGAGTGAATATCCGTGAAACACGAAAACAGATCCCTCAGATTATACTCAAATTTAATCCTGAAAGAAATTTCACACACACACACGTTTATTGAATCAAGATTTCTTACAAATATACTGATATTACTGTCATTGTTCACTAGCATGTTCAGTGATGCGTTACATTGATACTCAATAACGTACTGACTTTCTGCTAATTATGACCTGTTAGGCGTTTGCAACCTCAGATGTTGACACAATTTTATACATTTTCATCGACCGGGTAATTAACACATTAAGAATTAAGTAATTATTTTCTATATTATCAAATGTTTATTTTTTTAAAATAAATGTACTCTTTTTATAACTTGCTAATAAATTATAAAAAAAAAAACGAATTCATTAATAAATCCTCCAAATCCAATAATTATTCATGTTGTTTATGTGGCAGAAGAATAGTAGCATAATTTTATGTCATGGTCATTTATTAAATTTTTAGGATTTGTTTGAAGGCTACATGCAATGCAATTAAAAAAAAAAATTATAGATAACATTTGTAAATTAAATGCTCCTGGACTTATCAAGCAAGTATAATGATCTATACTAATTGGAAACATTTTTAGAAACCATTTTTAGCTATTTAAAACTCCCTCTACTGAGAGTGAAAAAAAAAAACAAAACAAAACAAAAAACAACAAGGAGCCTTCAAATTCAGAATACACAAGGGACAGAGCTTTCTTGTCACTCGGAAAAAAAACTTTTTCATGCAGAAGAGAACAAAGCAGTCACAGAAAACAGTCCTAGGGACTGTTAGGTCTGCTTTGTAGAGCAGTTCCACAACAGTCCCATGAGAGTCTTAGAGTAGTCTCAAAGTAGTCCCGGAGACTTATTTCTGGGACTGCTTATGTGTCAGGTTGGGTCTGGTTAGTAGTTTATATACTTTAAGCATATTTTATTGAATAATTCAATAAGGATTGGGCAACAGGCAAGGCCTATGTTCACCCTCTCCTTGTATAATAAGTCAAGATACAGTAAGTAATAATACATGTACATGATAATCAATAAAATTATAATGAAAAATAAAAATTCACAATCAAGTATTATTTATCCATATTATGTTTCAAAAAAAGATGACAACCCCCTAACTGTATACATATTATTTACATTAAGTAGTTTATATACATGTTAATACACATAAGCTTTTTAAATTCAGTGAAGAACAAAAGAAAAAAAACTTTTCACTAATGAATTATTTAAAAAAAAATATAGCATGTGTTTTTAAAATTACCTAATTTTTATTACATTTGTCATTTAAGGTAAATAAAAAAAATAAAGAAACAAAGAATTATTTAAATAAGTAATATATTTTACCTCTCCACCAAGCTGCAAACCTGGTAGTTAAGGACCGCTGTTCGGATTCTAAGGCTCCAGCTTCTTAAATAAAATAAATAGTACAGGGAAAAATGCAATTGATTAAATGACAATGCCTGTTATTAACTTAAGAAAACACCACAAAATATGCTTCTGTCATAGAAAATAATTTTTAGTTATTTTTATTTCAAATACAGTTTTCATAAATAAAGTGCAAGAGCCACTTGGGGCCTCTATTTGGCCCTGAGATTTTCTGAAAAATCAAAACCGGTCAGTTTAACTTGCAAATACAGTATTTATCATTTGGAGTTTAGGTGACCATGTATCTATTAATCATGACGTAATTTTTCATGTAATCAATTCATTATAACATCATAAAATTCGTCATTTTCCTTATATCCTGTAAATTCCTGTGAAAGTGACCTTAACATGAAGTATTTTAAAAATACCGGGTATTTTAAATAGAGCTCAACCTCTGATCCAAATAAGCAAAGGCAAAATGAAAGATCTGTTTCTGAAGATCAAAGATTTTATTTTTTGGATCGTGGGCTGGGCTCATATTTTAATTCTTTGCTGAATGTAGTTTAATACGCATGTTTTCTGCAAATTTCAAGAACATTGCAATTTCTAAAAGCCTGTTTCCAAAATCTGGATTTTCATAAAAAAAAAAAAAAAAAAAAAAAAAAAAAAAAAAAAAAATCTAAGAAAAGAAAGCACAAAGTTCAACTTATTTTCATATATAAAATGGGAAAGAGGATAATAGTTATGGAATTGATACATGGACAGGGTCACTTTATGCATAAAATGAACTTAGCGCTTTGTATACCTTTTCTTGAAGATTGCTATTGTTCAGAAAAAGTACTTTTGAAAGAAATAAAGCCTAGTATTATAGATATTTTTTAGTTGTCAACCGTAAAACAAGCAGTACTTTCTGCATGATTCTTACTGAACAAAAGGTCCAAAGAACTGAGAGCTCTCCTTAGTTACTGTCATTGACGTTCTTTTTCAGATTTCTCCCAATGTATACGTAAAAATTTAATGTGGTCCACCTTATTCCAAAGGGGTATGATTTTAATAATTAAGAATCTACACTTTCTTAGATTCCATATTAGTTGGATATTTCCTGTCCCAGTGGTTATTGAGAAGAAGATTCTCAAAATATTTTTCTATATATATACTGTTAAATCACATTTACTTAAATTGGGATCAATTTTTTGTGGTTTGAGTAGAAACTTTTGGTTCATGGGGATTTGAAATTGTGGATGAAGAATTGTTGAGAAGCTATGTATGTAAAAATATACATTTATTAATTTCGTGGTGGACATAAATTTGTGGGTCTCTCAATACCTAGAAAACAACGAAAACGAAAATTAAACCCCCACAAAAATTTGTGATTTCACAGTATCTTAATGTAAACATCGTTTTTATTATTGTGTAGCCCACCCTACTTCCGGGAAACAAGATTTTCACTATTTAAAATTTATAATACCCAAAGATGCTTACATCTATGTTTTAATGTCTATGGCCTAGTGGTTTATGAGAAGAATTTTTAAAAAATATTGTTGATATTTATCTAAAAAGAAAAAAAAATACACTTTGATTTCCATTTGTAGCCAAACAATATTCCCGCGATTGTGATTTTGACAATATACAATTTATGCTATCTCAGGATGACTCCACATAAGTTTCAACACTCTGGCCCAGTTATTCTTTAGATGAAAACGTTAAAAGATTTATGTCTATTTCAATGAAAAATTTAGATTCACAATTTCGGCCCCATCGGGGGTCATGATTTTTGTCCCCCGCTTGAAAAGTGGGGGATATTAATTTAGGTCTGTCCGTCCGTCCGTCCGTCTGTCATTCTGTCTGTCTGTAACACTTTCGTTTCCGCAAGATATCTCAAGAACTCTTTGAGCTTTTGCAATGCAATTTTGCATATTAATTTCCTATTGTCTAAAGAATCACCCTATTTATTTTGAGGTCAAAGTTCAAGGTCATAATCCGCAAATTCTGTCTGTTGAAACACTTGTTTCCGCACGATATCTCAAGATCCCTTTGAGCTTTTGCAATTAAATTTTATATTAAACTTCCCTCTGGCCTAAGGAAGACCTCTATTGATTTTGAGGTCAAAAGGTCAAAGTTCAAGGTTTAAACTTATACATTCTGTCTGTGTGTGACATTATCCTTTCCGGGCGATATTTGAAGAGAATTTTGATCTTTTGCAATGTAATTTATACCAAAACATTCTAGGACCTCTCACCCCTCTCAAAGTGTCCCGCCCCGTTTGTTTTATTAGTATTTATTGTGTTACATGTCGCTATTTTTAGCACAGTGGCATGAAGAGAGTTATTACGTATAAATCAGTTCTAGGCGGACTTTATATTCTTATTACATTAGAACTGTTTAATAAATTTTAAATTAGATACCATGCATTGTGTAAAATTTTGACAATATCGAACGTGAATATATATATATATATATATATATATATATATATATATATATATATATATATATATATATATATATATATATATATATACTGTAAACCAACTTTTATTCGCGACGACTTTATTTCGCGATTTACCAGGGATAAACTAGTTCGCGTCGATTAATTTTCACGATGAAGCCTCTTTAGATCTGTTGTTTATAGAAACAGAGACTTTTAGGACTGATTCGTGGCGAGAAATATTCGCGATGACAATGCTCTCACGAACCTCGCGAAAATTTCTCGCACGCGAATAAAAGTTGGTTTACAGTATATATATATATATATATATATATATATATATATATATATATATATATATATACATGTACATTTATGTGACTTCATGTTTGCATATCATTTTCATCAGTTGAAAGTGGTTCCGTGGTCTAGTGGTATGTCTCTCGCTTTACATGTGAGAGGTTCCATGTTCGAATCCCGGACGATCCATTTTCTTTTTCTTTTTTTTCGAAATACTTCTTTTTTATTAAATGATAGTATTTAGCATGTAGAATGTAAAAAAAAAATTGAGGTCTGGCTTGTACAAAGTCATAAAATCATCATTACAGTGTGATAAAGAATCGATATATGCATATTGACATACATGTATTTTATTTGCTTCAGTATACATATATAAGTTCAAAAAATTCAGTCAGGGGATCCGACTTTTTCCCTAAGCGGGGTACACGAATTCTCTGAATTAGCTTGTTAGAACTTAGAATTCACATTATCACCCCCCCCCCCCCTCGGATGCTTCCACATTAGTTCTAGCTTTTATGGCCTAGTGGTTCTTGAAAAGATTTTTTACGACTACCGGGGTAAATCTTATTTTGTGATATTTGAATATGTGCCCTTGTAAGGAAGATCGGTCATTCATTTAAAGGTCAAATTCAAAGGAAATAGATATGCTTGTAAATGATTTATGTTGTAAATAAAAGTTAAAAAGAGGGAATTATAATACTCCTTTAATTTCAAACCTCGTTGTTTTCTGTATTTACCTGTTTAATTATCACTAAAAATAACGTTCATTAATAGAGTTACTTCCCGTTTTTGTGACGTCATTCGAGACACTCTACGGAATCTTAGTTATATAAGCATAGTATATAACTACTCTTGATTATCTAAAAGAATGGTAAATTTTAGGGAACATAAATGTTGATATACCAGGATTACGTGTAGATCTTTCAATTAAGAATAGCTAGGCTTTGTATGTTTGAGCCAATCAAGGAAAAGCCGGTAAGGGTGAAAGTGGAAATGAAAATCAATTACAAAGTTCTGACCAAGTACCATCGCAGAATCGCTTTTACTCAATCACTTAATATTACCGCAGAGATGTTTACAAAAAATGATTTTAAGTATTGTTCCTTATTCATCATACATAGATGGGACCAAGACTTTCACTCGTGAAAAATTATAGAATTCTTTTCTTTACATTTCATGGCTGTTTGAACAGGGGATACATGTACACCGGATTTTTAAATGTAAATTATACTTTGGTAAACAATGAACAGATCAATAGAATTTACTGCATCATCGGATATAAATTTATCATCCGTGGGAATCCGAAGATCTTGCTATCACACTGGTGCTTTTTTTTTTGGGGGGGGGGGGGGGTCCCCGTGAAACCCCAAGGATTCTTTGACATTTTAAGAATTAAATATTTTCTATGACATATCACAAAGGATTACAAATGAACAATCCAAAATTTAAGCTTAACCTAGCCTTTTACATTTTTAAATATTCATACACTCTGATAATAAAACAGAACTTTCCGTTTCAGTATCAGAGGGTATGAATTCCCCCGTCCCCAAGCACCCGTGATAACTGTACGTATGTCTGGAATCTTAATGCGTAACAAGGAATTTTTATTTGTCTGCCCATCTCGATCCTTCCGAAATGACATTTCTTTGTTTTGCCCCCAAATGGAAATTGCTTCCTACAGACATGCATTGCGTAAAATCTTTGTCATAAGGCGCTTTTATTAAAAAAAAAAATTAATATGAATTTCTCCATCCTTATTTAGTTTATATGCTGTTTTGGTAACTATGACAAGACGCCGGTCAAAGAAAAAAATACTGCAGAAAAACAAATGAAGTGGACAGTAAAATATGGAGGAACAATCACTTGTGTGCATGAACACTGAAGTTTTATTTTTTGATAATATAATAATAGAAACAAGCTAATTCAAAGAATTTGTGTCCCCCGCTTAGGGAAAAGTAAACCATGCGCAGTTCGGGGTCGGGGGGGGGGGGATTGGGTTTCGGATCCCCTTCACTGAATTTGTAGAATTATTAAATGTATACCGAAACAAATAAAATATGCTAATATGGATATAAAGGTTTGATGGATTATTGTTTATTATGTGCGTAGAAGATTCTTTTTTATATGGAATATTTATCACACTGTAATGATGAGTTTGTACAAGCCAGACCTCATATTTTTTTCATTTCACATGCTGAATACTATCGTTTAGTAAAAAAAGAAAAGTATTTCAAAAAAAATGGATCGTCCGAGACGCGATCCCGGGCCCTTTCACACGCGGAGCGAGGGACATTACCA